AGACAAACCTGTCCAAATTTCCTTCTCCTCAATTGGTCAAACGAGCATCTTGGCTAAATTTACTATTAATGTTTTTCCATTTCTAATTTCTGGAATATCAATAGCTTTTAATTAAGCGGCATTTGTGCCCACTAGCTCCGTATAGAAGTTAAATATCTCTGATTTAATAGCCTTTGGATTACTAAGAAGCTCTCATTCCAACGAGGTTAGCGTGTAAATCCCCTTCTGATAATTCCTATATTTCACAGATGCATGAAAGAAAGAGTTGTTACCATCTCCTAATTTGAGCCAGTTGATTTTGGATTTCTGCATAAGGATACCTTCCTCGACTTGATTAAGGTGAACTATATAATCAATGTAATATTTAACTTTGTCAATGGCAAGAAGGTCAAATAAATTCTTTTGAAGGTTTTTTTGAGCTTGAATGAGATCTTGCCCGACCTGCTTGATTTGCACCTGGATATTTATAACTTTATTTATTTAGAGGTCTCAATATAAGTTTAAGTCTACTCAACTTTGTCCACAACCTGTGCATCACATTACCTGCTATATTCTGCTGCCAACCACTCTCAAGTAACTAAGCATATGAAGCATCTTGATTAGTAACGTTAATGAACTTGAAAAGTGTTTTCCTCATGGCATGCTGCTGCTGATTCAATTTTACTATTAACGGTGCATGGTCAAATATATTTGGCGCCAGAACTTCGACAATCGCATATTGAAATTTCTGGAACCAATCCACATTTCCAATCACTCTGTCTATTTTTGAATATCATATCCAAAGTTTGTTTATTCGACCATGTGAAATGACACCCTCGAGTGCTGGCTTCGTAAATACCCGTAGTTTACATCATGTCAACAAGATCATTGTATTCTGCCTCTGTCACATTGTTCCCTCCAATTTGATCATGGCCATTTAGAACGTTATTAAAGTCACCCATAACTATCCCATGGAGTGTTCATACCTCTCCCCAAGGTTTCAAGTTCTTTCCACATTAATTTATATTTCTCAATTTGATTGAAAGCATAAATTACCGTAACAATATACATAAGAGAATGATCTAAACTATATATTGCAGCATGAATAAATTGTTCTGCAATATTCAAACTTTCGAGAATCATTTCACTCGGTTTACACATGAGCTATATTCTTCCATTTTCATGATGGTTGTAGTTATCTTCATAATTCCATGTTAGGCCAAATTTCTTTCTTATTCTATCCGCATTCTTTTTCTTGACTCGTGTTTCCAACAATGCAATGACAAGAACATGAAATTCCGAGAGATAGGAGCCAATCTCTCGATGTTGTGCTTCCTTGTTAAGGCCCCTAACATTCCATGTGATGATCATGAGACCTTTTCATTCTTCCCTGTTGGACATTCTCCAATCCTAAAGGGAGTAAATCTATTTTGATAATACTTGGGTGATGTATTCTTTGGTGTACCAACACTTGTTGTTTCGCTCTGTCCACTCTACTTGAGTTAATCATTGTCCATATCCCATTGTTTATGCTCTCTATATTTTCATTTTGGATATTCTCCTCCACTGTGCTCGATGTACTTTCAGTTGTGATAGTCTTCTCCACCACCGAGTTTACTATTTTCCTTGCATGTTCAGTAGCTCCATGTGGACCACGCGCTGTCTTGTTCAGTTCCACATTAGGTTTTGTGCCACAGGTTTCCACATCTTCAAGGTTGCAAGTTTTATCTTTTGTTGTTCAGAGCACTCATGCTCTTTCTCAAACATAAAAAATATTAACTATTAACAAAATTAATACAACTAGAACCACCAAAAGTATTTTATTGTAACCAGAGTTAATATTAGATAGTATTTTATAATTATCCGTACATTTTTGTTTGTATTTGGCATTTATTTTGTTGAGTAGGATTGTAAAATCTTTGGAAACTTTTTAACTTGACACCCGTAATTAGTGTTTTTACTATAATACCATTTGTGTTTTTTTTACGTTTTAAAAAAAATAGTATGTTTTATGGATTTGTGGAAATTTTTTGAGTTTTTACGAGAGTTTTGCAAAGTTTTATGAATTTTTATCGGATTTTGTAAGGGAACTATGAGTTTGTATATGATGTATGGAGAATCTCTTGAGTTTTTATTAGATTTTTTTAGGGATCTATGAGTTTTTTATTGGATTCATGGAGAATCTCTTAGATTTTTATCGAATTTTTAAAAATTTATCAAATTTAAACTATCAAATTCGCAAATATACAATCGGAATTTAAAAAAATGTATGAGTTTTTATTAAATTTTTGACAAAGTGTATGAGATTTTAAAAAAAATTTATAGATTTTTTAAAGATACTTTCAGATTAAAATTTTCTATATAAGTTAGTTGAATATCATTTTACCATTAATGTGATTTTGCATTCTATTTTTAATAATAATTATAATAGATATAACAATTTAAAATTGTCAAAAAGATACGTTAAATAGTTCAAAAGAATAAATTTAATATAGAAAAAAACTACATAAAACTTTATTAGTTTAGTCCCACATCGATATTACTAACATTGAAGAGCGGAGGATTTGGTTATAAATATTAAGTGTAACAAGTCATTAAGGTTTAGCTAATTGCGAAATGGAACAAACACGGCGGCTACGACTCCGGTTTCGCATTGAAAGGAGAGAGGACAGGATTAGTGACCTGCCGAACTCACTTCTGGAACATATCGTCTCATTCCTTCCGACAAAAGATGCGATTGCCACCAGCGTCCTTTCAAAACGTTGGAAACCAATCTGGCGGTCACAAATCATCATCTACTTGGATGACAGTCCCTTTCCAGACACTTTCTCCTTTCACCAATTCTTCAATTCCTTCATCACCATGAGAGATAACACTCTACCCATCCTCTCATTGCACCTTAAATGTCGCCGCCGCCGCTTACACTACAACTACGATTTTGTTTATGCTGCAATTACAGAAGGGATAGAAACCCTAATCATCGATCTCCTCCAGCCAACCACACTCCCCTCTATAGTTCTAAGCACAAAAACCTTGTCGGTTTTGAAATTGAGGAGGATAAATCTGAACGAAGACTTTCAATCTGTTGATCTTCCCTCGCTCAAAGTCCTTCACTTGGAATATGTCATTTTCAAATTTATTCCGTATCTCCATAAAATTCTATCTGGCTGTCCCATTCTACAGGAGTTGGAATGCAAGGATTTAAGAATGGAGATGCTTACTAAGATGCCTCCTTTAGGTATTGCAATATCTAATTTGGTCAGAGCCAGTGTTACCCGTAAAACTTTTGTTGGGCTAGAGTGGCTTCATAATGTGGAGCATCTCCACATGTATATGGTATGTATCAATTTATGCAGCACACGACACCCTCTCCATAAAATAAATAAGTTTAATTGCTATGATCTTTTTTCAAATGATTAATGTTGGCTTGTGTTCGGGGATGTTTGTACTTGATATTTCACTAGTTCAGATTTATCTGTTTAATTGTTTCATACCAACATCTTTGTAACTCAACGCAGGACAGGATGCCACCTACTATACGCGGCGTGTTTCACAATTTAACTCACCTTGAGCTTATATTTGAAGATCGGCTATATGCGGATTACACGTGGACATGGCTCAAAAATCTGCTTCAAAATACCCCTAACCTTCAAACTCTTATAATTCATAACCTCTATATGGTAAAACTTTTTTTTTTAGTTCTATTTCTATATGTTTTAAAAAACTTATATTTTATATCATTCAGGTCTATGGAGATGTACGATGTCTCTCTATTAAAGAATGGAGCGATTCAGAAATTGTTCCAGAATGCCTTTTATCTCATCTTACAACATGCTCACTTAAAAATTACAGATTCATCAATTCTGAACTTCAATTTGCAAAATATATAATGCAGAATTCAAGACTACTAAACACCATCACAATTCAGACTGCCAAGGATATCTTCATAGACACAGATACAAAACTTCAAGTGTCAATAGAATTATCTTCATGCCCAAGGATTTCACCCACATCTAAACTTTTTTTTATTTGAATGATTTGTAAACCTTTTACTTATTGGAATGATTTTATTTCAGTCACATGTTGTCGTCTTCAAATTTGTCTTACTCTGTGTATAGTTTTTATTTTGTATCTCCATCCACTAATTATTATTCAGAAAAAAATCAGAAAAATATATGTTGCTTCTATTCAAAGGTCCAACAGGATATCACAAAAAAATACAAAAAATATATGTTGCTTCTATTCAAAGGTCCAAACACAGGGTATCACAAATTTGGATTGGTTAAAATGAGATTCAATTGAGGCTTTCGGGACAAGTGTGTATGTAGTGTTGATTAAGGATTGATTGGTTTTGACTAAATGCAAGTCAGACAATGGTTTGTTCATGATCAAGGTGCTAAGTCGTTCGAAATTTAGGTTAATTCAAAAACCTCATTTAATTCAGGGACTTACTTATTAATTCATTCAGAGTGCGGAATTGACTCGTGTTTGACTTTGATGCCTCATTTTTAAATAAGAATTCAAAGGGGTGGATATTTGATTCATGAGATTTTTGAACTAAACATGTGATCAAACATGATTCAAATCAAAAGTGGGTCCACGTTTGGGCGTTTATTTTTCAAAGATCGATTTTAAAAAAAAATTATTCAAGTGTTCAAGATTATAGTGAGGATTCTAAGACATTCACTTTCTAAATTATAGGGAGATTCAATCAAGTCCTGGACATTTTTCATGAAGCGATTTTGGTTTGAGAATCAAGTAAGGGTGTAGATTTAAATTTCAAGTCATGGCCAAGATTTCTCAAGATCAAGGGTGATATGTGGAGGGTGCAAATAATCAAATGTATTTTTGAATTACATTTCCTGCTTGCAAAAATAATCAATTTGGCATGTCTCACAAGATTAACATTATTCCATAAATTAAAAAGCAGAATTCCGCAAACAAAGTAGAAAAAGTTCTAATTAGTACAAAATGACAACAAAGAACATAGATTCACACGATTACACAACCCAAAGTTTTCTTCACTTGGACAATTCCTCAGAGAGATTGGTAGCCAAAGATGTAATGGTTGAAGGAGATATTGCCCTTGAACCAGCAAGATACCATTTCTGAATAGTCTCAACAACATTGGCATTCTCTACTACATACTTTGAATCTTCTTTCCCCTCCAAAGATACCACAATCTGTACAACAAACAATCATGTCATCGGTTAGTTATATGCAATACTCTCTCGATTCCTTATTATAAGTAAATTTTGACTTTTTAGATCCATTGAATAATGTATCTGCTACATTACCTCAGCAGTTGAAGAATTTGCAGGGAAATGATATGTGATGACTGAATATTTCTTGAAGTACTTGGACTGGAAAAATTCAATAGTTTTTTCCAAAGCTTCTTCTTCTTCATCCTCATATTTGTCATCAGCTGCCAAACGGTCCCTCACAGCAGTCTCAATCTGAACACCATATTGTGCACCCTTAATCTCCTTAATCACCACAAGCCTAATTACCTTCTCCACAGGAGCTGCACATTTACACATTCAATTTCATCACTAATTAACATTGTTCAATATCAAAAAGTCTTAGTAACCTAATTGATTCTTAACTAACTTTGTCTCTAATGGGTGGGGATTGTCGGGTGGTCCAATAGAATATCCACCGGATCTTAAATTAAATCAGATTGTTAGATACCATTTTAAAAAAATGTGGTTGAACCTAAATCCTCTCTACAAAACTACAAAACCGGCTTTTATAGGTGAAGATCGTCACCTCTTATAAACACATGTTGAGACTAAATATATATTATTTGATGCGAGACTCTTAATAATGATAATGGTGGATTAAAAAGGGGTTCAGAACTTACCAGATATGAGAGTATCAAAGAAGTCATCATTATCTTCCAATTCCTTGGCAGATTTCCCTTTCCATTGTTGCAAATGGTTAACTACTTCAGATTCTAAATAAACCCCAATTGCATAGAATTTCACTTGGAGAAAATGGATCTCCATGTCAGTAATCCCTGATCAAAAAAGGAAATCAAGTTATATCCACTTCCAATAACTGATATTGAACAAAAATCTACATATCCAAGATCAAGAACCTTACCATGACCAAGGAGAGAAAGAGGCTTGGTAGTAGTGATCTTGGAAGGGTAAGAGATTTCATCAACCAAAACTGTTTCAGTAGCCACTGAAACAAAACAATTAATCAATAATTAGAACAATAAACAAGAATTAATCAAGCAACATATTAGATTAACTGAGAGAGAGGTAGCTCCTCTTACTAGTTATTGTCTAAAGAAAGCACAGTTGTGATGAGAGGGTTTGAAAGAGAGAAACTTAGAATGAGGTGTAAGAATGGTAGAGTGGTTTTATAAGGTTGTTTGTTAGAGACACTTAGAAATAAAATTAAGGTGGTGGTAGGTAGGTAGATCGAGTTGACATAGTTTGTGACTTTCTCAAACTGTAAAAATGTTTATGCTGTTACAAACAACCTAAACTTCTCCTACCTAATAATAATCTCTTGAAACTAATGAATATGTTTAATTTTTCATATAAATGTGGTTGATGTTGGCATGTGGTTTGATTTGAAGTCAATTTCGTTGTCTTGAACTCATTGGAATTTCTTCGGTTGGTGGCACGAGCGCCACCGTTCATTCTATGAGCAGGACCTAGTTTACTACCTACCCCATCTTTATCAATAATGTATAGTACTACTATTTTTATTTCTAGCTCAATTTTGTATTCTTCTGCCACATTTGCATTAAATATGAGTCTCTTAAATTATTTGTCAAACACTTTATTTTGTAAAATTCTTACCGACTAGTATTATGTTCTTTAAAACTAAACTTTATATCAAAAAAATTTAGAAGGAACATTTAATATTTTCAAACACAAACTAGTAAGTTACTCATGCAAGTTCTTTAACATGCCCTTAATTTAAAACTTACACTCAATTTATGTATTGAGCATAACACATTTTCAAGAAATCTCATTTTAAAACATGCATTCCTGAAACTATCTTATACCTTTCCACGCACGTATTTGATATCATTATAACATGTTAGACTGATAACGCGAAATCATATCGTTTATTTGACTTAATTTACATGCATTTATTTGTAACTATCCACTCACTTCCCACTACTGGAAGTTACTCCCACTCCCTCCATAACTCACCCATGATCTCTGGAAGTTGAAGAGTGAATTATCTCCTATAAATAGGCCTTAGATTCACAGTTTTAGGGGAACCTTCGATGTATCGAAGTGCTGCCAAAATTCCCATTGAAGCCAATTTTACTTTCCTGCATTATTTTCCATTTCTTTTCCTTTTATTTCATTTGTATCGCTTTATTTGTTCCTGTACCTTTTAATTCTCGCCAAAGTAGAATCCTGCCGACATTGTGGAGGACTACTCAAGGATTCGAGATCAGTACGATTTACAGGTTTTTATTAATTGAATTATTATTTTATTTCTGTCGTATGCATGTTATATTATTCTGTTGCCATTGTTTATTTATGTTTGCATTAATTGTCATGTCTAGCTAAATTAGTTCTATCGGTATGTAACCGAATTAGTAGGACAGGATTCGATAGTAACCGGTACCTTCCTTTTTTATAAACAACCTTTCTGGCCGTAGTTTTTAATCAAAATTCTAAATAAACCTTTGTCACGACAGTGAGAAGCTATTTACGGTGGTTTTGCCACGACAGTGGGAAACCATATTAAGGTACGAACCAACAAGCGACAGCTGAGGCTAGAACCAGATAGTAAAAACTAGGCATTGATTTTAGACACAGCGAAAGCGCTTTAAAAGAAATTAGAATCTATTTGTCTACAAAAAGTAGTTTTAACCCCGAATGGGACAGCGAAAGCGTACATTCGACCCTTAGAATTATGACCCGAGTCAACAACCATCGTGAGGCGAAGGTCTTTAAACGAGTAAGTTCTCCTGAAAAGTGTTTGCAATAGACAAAAAGGCACCGGTAACTTTCCGAATTCCCGATAGCTAAAGCGTTACATACCGATATTCCTTTACCGCATTTCTTTAAACCAAAAATCCTTATTTCTTGTGCATTTAATTTCATCCGCATTTAACTTTCCAAATTCCATTAGCCTTAGCTTTACGCCGTAGCAATAGATAACGGTAGATTGACATTGGTCTCTGTGGGTTCGACAATCTTTTATATTACTTCGATATTTCCGTGCACTTGCGGACGCATCAAGTTTTTGGTGCCGTTGCCGGGGACCAACAATCAATATTGTGATTCCGTTGTTGCATAGTGTAGACTAAGGCACTCTTATCTAAATCATTATGTATAACCCATATTTCCCTTATATCTACCACCCCCAATATTTCGAGGAACCACAAGATCTGTTTAAATCGGACCTCGAAATATTATTAGAAGATTTCAATACGACGCATTCTCACCCAAATTCCCTTTACGATGACGACTCCCAATGTTTTGAGGAAACGCAAGATTTCGATACATCCAACCTTGAACTATTACTAGAAGAATTCGAAGAGACGTTTACTCATTCTAGGATAGAATCTATGATGGAGCGCTTTGTGGAGACACAAACTCTCCAAAATGAAGATTTTAGAAAACAACATCTCCAAATTGATGAAGACCTTAAGCAGATGAGCATTATAGTCGATTCCCTCGCGACTCACAACAAGGCTTTGGAGACTCAAACCTCTTTGCTTACACAAACATCTCTAGGACCCTTCCTTGAGAGCCATGTGAATGTTGTAACCACTAGTAATGAAGAACAAATAGAAGATCCTGGGGAGAGTGATGATGAGTCTGAGGAGAGTTTTGGTGAGACAAGCATAATTATTGAGAAAAATCCACCGACACCACCCGAAAGGGAGGTTGTCGAAGAGGTAGAGAAAGAAGTAACCATTGTTGCTCCCCCTCCCTATACCCCGCCTAATTCTTTCTCACAATTGGTTGTGGAAGCTAAGGTAAACTCCTAATCCAAAACATATGTAGAGGTATTGGAAAATATCCACACTAATGCACCTTTGTCTAAGGTCTTTCATAACAAAAGAAAATTCAAGGACCATGAAACTAGGGTTATCATTACTGTTAAAAGGGTAAGATTAAATTTTGAGGTGGTGGATGAAATAACTAAGCCCAAATTTGAAAAACTAATACTTAAGATAGATCCAGAACCACCACCACAAGTTCAAAACAATGAACCACCCTATAGAAGAAAGAAAAGAAAAGGTGAGGGATATGAGAGATGGCTTGATAAGTGGCCATGGAAACCGAAGACCATTCAAAGTTTGATCAAGGAACCATTCTCGAAAGAACCACCATGAGTACTTGCACTCCTTGGCCGTCGAGCTATCGACGTTAAACAAAGCGTTTTGTGGGAGGCAACCCACAAAGTCTTTATTTTAATTTGTTTGTTTAAATTTGCAGAAAATAAAGAAATGTATCGCTTGCTACTCTTTAGCTATATCTAAGCGAAAACTCTCTAGATGACGATCTGAGAAGATGAGCTATGCCCACGGACATTCCTACGAGTGTCGCTGCTGGTGGGAACACTGATGATGAATACTTCCTCTTGACGCGAGCAACATGATGAGCTGGTTCGAGAATTACACAAACAAAGGTATCTCGAAATGCCCGTCGCTGAAGTAGAAGTGATCAACAAAGACAAGGATAGCAAGAGCAGTAGCATTCATACAGGTTCTATCTCTCCTTTTCCACCTTTTACTAAAACATTGAGGACAATATTCGGTTTAAGTGTGGGGGAGGAACTCTATTGTTTTACATTTTATTTCATGCTTCTAGGAATTTTATCTATTTTTAACATTATGTCAAAGTCTTTGCATGTGCTGTCGAGTCTTTATGCGTGGTTTTCGCTTGTTATTCAATTTCCCCAAAATTTCAAAATTTCAAAATTTTAAAATTCTAACCTCCAACAAATTTTTGCTTCGATTCATGACATGGTTCTCTGAAAGTATATAGGCTGTCCAGGCTATGTTAGAAAAACGTGGGAAAGTTTTGATAAAATTGATACCGTCCTGACACCCTTAACCCCCTAAATATGTAAAATCAATTTGAGTACCCATTATGCCGAAGCCTTAAAGCTCCAAGTTCTTGTAGTAATCCCTAAGTAGTTTATTTAAGCAGTCAGCATCATCCTAAACACACTAAGTAAGAAACTGATTCAAATAAGTGTATGATCTCTAGTGTAAAATGAGAAATAAAGAAAGAGAAAAAAAATTATGAAGAAAAAGACATGTTCCTTCTAAGTTAGGTGCTCCTCACCCGAGCACTTAGCTTAACGGTACAAACTCTTTAAGTTCAATTGATGCTTAAGCATATTTGCAGAGAAAAAAATGAAATAGCATCGAGATCATAGTCACTAACAGGTTTACTTGCCATGAATGTGTATGGATAACGGGCTTAATGTGATTGCACTATAATGAAATGGGGTGAAAGAGAGCATGAGATATAGGTTGAGTTATAATGGCATGATTCCGATTGGTTTGCATAAGTAGAGAGTTTTTGAAGTTGTGTCGTTACGGTATCCTTGGTATTGATATTTAGTACCTATCGATCTAACATTAGCCTAGCAGCCAAATATGATTAGAGTCTCACTGTGTCTTTATTTCAAATTATATTTATTTCTTTTTAACGTGTTGGCTAATTGCTTGAGGACAAGCAATGGTTTAAGTGTGGGGGTGTTTGATAACGCGAAATCATATCGTTTATTTGGCTTGATTTACATGCATTTATTTGTGACTATTATTAATTTATCTTGATTTACGTTCTATTATATGATTAATTTACTTTGTTTTGCAGATTGGGGAGAATTTGGATTAAAGAAAGAAAAGAAGAAGAAATGGAAGGAAAAGAGAGAAGAAAACCAGAAAAAATGGATTTTGCTGATATGACGGTCATCACAGGTCCATTACGACCGTCATGCGTATGACGACCGTCACATTTCATGACGACCGTCACACAGACAAAATATCAGTACATTCAAATCATAAGCAGCCACGATAAATCTCAACTTAATTTCTTCCTACACTTTCTCCACTCACTTCCCACTACTGGAAGTTACTCTCACTCCCTCCATAACTCACCCATGATCTCTGGAAGTTGAAAAGTGAATTATCTTCTATAAATAGGCCTTAGATTCACAATTTTAGGGGGAACCTTCGATGTATCGAAGTGCTGCCAAAATTCCCATTGAAGCCAATTTTACTTTCCTGCATTATTTTCCATTTATTTTCCTTTTATTTCATTTGTATCGCTTTATT